CTCTCTGCCCCCCTTTCCTGTCTCTCTCCAGCTATCACTGTCAAATAAAGGCATAAAGGCCAAAAAAATAATACTTTAAAAAAAATCTGTAACTGTAAATAATGATAAAATTACTGCTGATTTAAAAAAAACATTTGCTGATCTTTTTTCTTTTACAGATGTTTACTGTTTATTTAATTGATTAAACTGTTAAATTCAAGTTTATTACTGTTAATACATTTCTAAACTTATGTAAAATTAGTAAAAATTATAAATAAATATTTGGTTTTTTTACATGGATTTGTTTAATTGTATAATTCTTTCACAACAAAAACATTAAATAAATGTTTTTTTGTATCAGTGTTAGCATTGAGCACTTTCAAAATACAGTTTTTTTATCACTGAAAACAGCAATAATTAATTTCACAGATAGTGACTTTTATTCTTCTATAACTTTTAAAATTCAGAATAAAACAAGATCTAATAACTCTAAATTTGTAAATTTAAACTTGATTATCTATATTATAACAGTGTTCACCTGTATTTATAGGTAATTTAACAATAAAAGCAGAAACAAAAGATTGTATGTCAAATTAAAGCTAAAATTACTGTATTTTTACAGGTCGGTTATTTTCTGTTACTTTATTTGGATTTCTAAATGTGGCCATAACAGATTATTAAATTAATTTCTGTTTTTCAATTAATATATATGTATGTTGGGCATTTTTCAGGGCTGCCACCCCTCAGAGTAAACTTACTGGGTTGACCTCTGTCCACTCTTGTTCTTGGCTTTGTAGCAGTAGATTCCCAGCACAGTGACAATAGCAGCAGACAGCAGGGCAGCCAGGATCCCTGCCACCAGCCCTGCCACATCCACTTTGGGTGCATACTCTTCAAAGACAAACATCATAAACATTAAACCATTTCTTAGACAGTTCTCATACCAGTCAGTCAGTCACTAATCACTGCAGTGATCAGTCATTATTGTCTTCTATTTGTGTATTGAAGCTCAGCACACTTTCTATCAAGAATTATGACTCATTCAATTGACAATTATGTCTCTCCCTCTTCCTGCTAGTTGTTCAGGGCTCTATGAGTCAGCTCCTTTAAATGAACGATGGGAGCCGGCTTCTGAGAGTTCAATAGAAATAAAACGGTCAATCCATGTGTGGAACAGTGTTTGTTTTTACATAAGATTTGTATATCAAGCATAGTGTAAAATGGTATGGTGTTCTGGAAATTATAAGGCTTGGGGAGTAAGGGGAGTAAGAAGACATATAAAATATATACAGTAGGCCTACATCTAAGCATTTCATTCATTTCTGTGAAGAAAACTGGATTAAAATGAACATATTTACAGAGCCTTCACTCTCTGATAAACAGCCTTGTCATGCATTAGAAAAGAAAACACAAACAAAGAGCTAATAGAACAATGAGAAGAAAACACTTAATCTATCAAAAAGAATATGCATGATTGTTAAAAAAAATCATAAAACAAAAAGCAAATTGTATAGTTTACCTAAAGATATCAAGAAAACTCATGTCTGATGCAATATTAGGTGTTTATTGTACAGTTTATCAGTTGTTCCGTACTTGTTATGCATTGAATAAAATATGAACTATTCATAAAATATGTCACTTAGTCAGGGGTCATCAGTTTAGGAGTCCATTAGTGGAAAATGTTTTAAACTACAGTTTAAGCATTTGCAGCATTCATAGCATGCCCAAGTGAGTGTACCCTTAACCAAGCACATATAACAAATAAAATATTTGCAATACGGAAATTATACTGTGTATAATTTAATTAATTAAATTAAAATGATGTACTTGTTGTTACACATGTATGCATGAATGTGAAAAAACTACATTCTGCACATTTTTTTGTTGTTGTCTTTTTCACAGCAGGTGAAAGGTTAGGTTCTGTAAGGTTCTGTTACATTCAGTCCAAACAGAGTCAGGGTATCTTAGTATCATTGGTAACACCTGTGTTTACCCTACAATTTCATGTCAAAATGGCTGCTGTGAAAAAGGTCTCCAATGGATAATATTCATATTTTACAGTATTACCTTGACTGTAGTCCTTCCAAAATGCTTGCTAAAATGGAAATAAAAGAAGATTTAATTTAGTATCTTTGTGAAAAAGGAAGAAAAGTAACATCAGGTCTTAGGGTGCCTAGGATATTTAATTCAAGTAAATGTGGACATGCAAAGGTTTTCTTAAGTATGTTTAGGTAAAAAATCTAGTATTTATTGTTTGTGTATTTATTCATTGTTTATTATTCAAAACTACAACTGTAGCAATGCAGTGATAATGAAGCCAAAAGGCTTTCAGTTCTGTTCACACAACTATCTCACAAAATGTAACATTTAGGTGATATCAACCTCCCTAAAACCCTTCAGGGGCACTAAAGTCAGGAGTCTCTTCCTATCTGTATAGGTAAATGGGGGAAAAAACAACCAGTAGAATTCTACATCCAAATGAGATTTAGATGAGACAGTAGAGAGACAATCATTGCCAGCAGAATTACCGCCATAGTGTCGTCCTCAAACACCTCTCTGGCCTCCTCATAGCTGCACCTCTCTTCCACGCACTCCCTCTCCAGGTTGTCAGTCACCACCAGCTCAAAGTCCCAACTGTTATAGAGAAGCGAACGGGACAGGAAGGAGGTCGCTGACTGCTCATCCACTAACACTGGGTCTCCTGCACAACACAGGCCACATGTATACACACAGAGTGGCAAGAACAATACAACTCCCATACACTGTAACCCAATACAGAAATAAAATAAAATTTTGTGAAAAATAATTTTCACTGTTTTTCAGTGTTTTGGCTCTGTACTACAGCTGTTTGACTTCCAGCTCTAATGGATATGTGCAGAACCTGCAGATATTTACAGTTTATTTAATAGATTAAACTGTTAATACTGTTAATGCATTTCTAAAATTATGTAAAATTAGTGACAACAGTTAACAGTGAAAAAATGTGTTCTGTAATTTTACATGGATTGGTTTCTTAATTGGAAAATTGGACATTTTCACAACAAAAACATAGAATACATGTTTTTTTATCAGTGTATAAGAATTATACCATTATCTCACAGATGGTGACTTTTATTACAGTTCTCTAACTTAAATTCAGATTAAAATAAGAAATCAAATAATAACAGCACTCTTCTGTAAAACCTGATTATTTGTATTATAGCAGTGTTTGCCTGTATTTGTAGGTAATTTAATTGTTTTTACATATGTAAATGTCTTTAATTAAACAATAAAATGCCAAAATAATAAACATAATTAGAGTATTTCTTTGGCACGAAAACTGCCGGAATATTACCATTTTTTAACTTAACACTCTGTGCTTATCCAATGTGTGATATATCTTCTCCCACTGTGCCATAGAGCTCTACCGTTATCCACACAAACTATTTATTTAGTCATTAAATGACCCAATGTGGATTAATCCACAGTGTAAAATAGTCCCCAATGAATGCACTATTTCCTCCTGTTATTGTAATGTTTGCTAAAAGTAACAGTGATCAGAGGGGGCTGGGGACAGTGCCACGGATCGGGTAATGACAGACAGTACTGAGATATTAACTAACTTGTTGTTGTTTTGGGTCTTTTTATGGTATTTGTTGCAAAAGAAAAAAAGAGGTGAAATAAAGAAGGTGTTCTTTTCTGAGACAACCCCATTATTTAAAATTAGAAAGCCAGTGTCTAAGATAACTAAAATGAAAATAAAATGAAATGCTAAAATACTTTCATAATTAAAACATGTAAAAATACATGTAAATTGTCATTTTACAACACAGGATAATGAAATTCAGGTGGTAGTTCCCTTAATGCTACTTTTAAAGAACAAAAATATATATTCAAAAATGATACAGGGTGAAATTTAGTGGCATTTGGCGGTGTGGTTGAAGGGAGTTTCTCCCTCCAGGCTTGAAGAAGAAACTCCAGTGGCCCTGAAATGCGCAAAAAACACCACTGGCCCTATCTACAGCCAGTGTTTGGGTTGTCCACTCTGTGCTACTGTAGAAACATGGTGGTTCAACATAGCGGACTCCGTAGAAAAGGACTCTGTAGATAAAAAAATGTTTTGTTGTAATGTAACAAAAACACGATTCTTATTTTCAGGTGATTATAAACTAATTAACATACCTATGAATATTATATTCCACTTCCACTAATAGTGCATCCTAATTGTTACACACTGGACCTTTAAATTGCTACAAGGACCATCTAATAAAATACACAGAATGTAAGCCTGTGCAGTCTCATATGTTAGCACAACCTGAATGTGGCAGAAAGGTGTGCATGGGGCTGACAGTTGGGTTGGTGAAGCACCTAATGTGGTTGGCCTGCAAAAATACCACGCCTCCACTTTGTTCAGTTATCATCTGTTATGACAGCAGGCATCTGAACAGAGGGAGACTGATTGAAGTTATTTCCTGATTTGAGCGCACATCTACCGCAGCATCCGCCACGCCATATTGAGAATAAACGCTCATTACACCCATTTTTCTTTCTACAGCCCCCACTTTTTCACTCGGCATCTTTATCTTCATCTCTATCTCATCATTTCCCCATTATAGTATTGGTTTTCTTTCAGTGAAAGAGGAGAACAACAAGACCTCCTTTAAACCCAACCTTTTAAACAACCTAGATCACACAGCAAGACAACAGAATCATGGCTGCCCAGGGAATAGCCCCACCCTGACCTTATATCAAGGGTCTTTAACTCTGCCCATGTCAGTGATTGATTAATGACGTATTATATTCTTAAAAAATAAATCACATAAGCACATATAGCACTATCACAGTACTGCACCTTGTTGCCAAAGTGAAGTATCACTTCCCAGACAAAAAAAACAGAGTTAGACATCTGAGAGACATCTGCCAGAGCCTGACATGTCGCCTCAGATGTTTTCAGCTAAAGGTTTTCTTTTTGGCGGCAAGGATCTTGGTCGCCATGGTGACGTCTGGGTGTCATCCTCACAGACCATCTGTGTTGTTGTTCGCTGTCCAAAAAAAAGAGGCAGCATGGTAGGGTCAGACACACACACACACAAAGCAGGCTTGGGAACCCACTTCAAAAAATACATTATAAGAACAAAAAATAGAACACTCATATATATATGCTCATTGATATATTGATATTCACAAAAAACATGAATACATGTCTGTCTGCTGGAATGTATAGATACACACGTGCAAACACACAGACACACACA